CGAGGGGCGGCGTGTCCCCCATCACAGCCACTGCTTCAGCCGCCTCTGAAGCAGCCCCGAGGTTCTCCGTGCTCATCGTGCGGGAGGCAGGCAGCGCCGCAGGGCAGGGGTGTGGCCTGAGCAGGCCTTCCTCCGTGTGGTGACACCCACCGCTGTTTTGTGTGTGGCTGTGGGAGGAGGACCGGCGTGTGTCTGGGACAGGCTGGGGTTGCTGGTGGGCGAGGGAGGGGGTGTGTTTCTAAAAGGCGGGAGGGGCTTGGCTGTGAGAGGGTCTTTCCATCGACGCTGGAGGTGCCATCGCCCAGTCCTACGCGGGCCTCCGGAGCCGCCTGCGCGTGGGACTCAGGCACCTGAGCGTGACCCCGCCGTGGGCAGCCTCAGCCTGGGCAGCCGGGGCCGAGCGGGTGCTCAGGGTGGCTGTCTAGTCAGCCCAAGGACTCATCTTCACTCCCTCCTCTGTGCCCTCCCTGCGCCGAGGGGCCGGTCGCCCGGACAGCAGGCGTTGAGAGGGTCTCCCGGACAGGAAGCCAAGCCTGCTCTCGCATCCCTTCACAGTCCTGGGGTTCTGGGAGGAGTTTCGCGCTGCGAGCTAGGAAGTGGAACAGGAGGAAGCAGGACACGACTCACTGTTTATGAAGAACAAACCCCTTCGAAATGCTCAGGCTGCAGGGCTTGTGACCGCTCATTACATATCGGACTGTGTGATCCTCCCCCGTGGGGCCGAGGCCCCCTGGTTCTTACGCGGGGACACCTTTCCTGCCCGCGATGCACACAGCACCCGCAGAGGAGTCCCCGTCACCAGGTGGGCGAAGGCAGAGCCGGAGGCACGGCCTGTGACTCACTGTGAAACTCCGTCCTGGTACCTCCGGGGCTCCACCTCCGCTGGCCGGAGCAGGTGGTCTAACAGGTCTGCCCAGACCCGGTTCTCGGTTCTTGGACGCCAGGCTGGGGAGGGGAGCCTCGGGCCGGGAGCGCGGGCAGTGCGGGTCCTGCCTTTCATCACGGAGGTCGCTGGGCAGGTGGAGCCCGCTCACAGGGTCAGCCTCCGTCCTCTGGGCTCCATGTGACAGCCTGGGACCTGAGCGTCCCGCGCCACCTCTGTGTTTATAGGATGAGAGGCCAGGGAGGCGGGGACTTCGACGTGTCCCTGTGCCCTGGGATGAGACCCAGTGACCCCGTCGGGGTTCGGTCAGAGAGCCAGGGCCACACAGCCCAGAGACGGGCGAGCAGGTGTGCGGCCCGGTAAGGAGGCGGTCTGGGCCTCTGGAGGGTCTCTCTTAGAAAATGGTTTAGTCTCCTCGTTTCCACGTTTACTCCCTGTGGGTCCAAACATTTCAGGCCCTGGTTGGTGTGGCTCAGTGGATAGAGCATCAGCCCACGGGCTCAAGGGTCCTGGGTTCGATTCCTGTCAAGGCATGTACCTCGGTGGCAGGCTCAATCCCCGGCCCAACCAATCGATGTGTCTCTCTCACATCGATGTCTCTCTCTCTGTCTCCCACTCCCTTCCACTCTCTCTAAAAATCAGTGGAAAAATACCCTCCAGTGAGGATGAACCGAAAGCCAAAAAGGAAGCCTGTCCCAAGGGCAGCTTCCGGACAGACCGTGTCTCAGCTGAGCTGAGTCTGTGTCTGGAACTGGGCCTGATGCCGAAGGCCCGAAGGCTCGCACGTAACCCTCGGGGGCTGGGCTGGTATGGAGTCAGCGTTCAGGGCTGTAGTGGCGTGTGTGTGTGTGTGTGTGTGTGTGTGTGTATGTGCCTTTGTGTGTGGGTCCATGCCAGGTGTGGACAGCATCGTGTGTGAGTGAAGCTGCTGCGAGGTGGTTCTTCCTGGTGCCCGGGTGCCTGGTGGGCCCAGTCTCCGCGGGCCTGAGCGGCGCCCGTGCACGGCCTCTGGGACCCGCGGGGCTGACCACGTGCTGACAGCGTCAGAGCAGATGCTCTGGCCTCGAGGCCTCGCCTCCCTCCTCACTCTCATCCATGCGAGAGAGTGTTCCTCCCAGCGGCCTGGATGGCACTGCCTCTGGGGCGGGGCGGGGCTCGGTCCCTGCGTGGGGGTGGCAGCCAGTGCTTCCCCAACACATCGGGTGTTCCCCACACATCATGCACCGGGGGTGTCCCCGCCCCCCGGTCCCACTCCTGGGCTGCTCCCCAGCAGCTCAGGGCCACCTGTGTCCACGGCAATGAGCACCTCTGCGGCAGCTGCAGGGCCCCTCCCAGCTGTGTCCCGCTCCCCCCTCACCGTGAGAGAGGAGGGGGCGTCTGCCTCCCCGGCCACTTGACAGCCGTGCGCCCCTGCCTCTCCGGCGTCTTGACTGAGAGTCACCCCTGCGCCTGGAGAGACCCTCCCGAAGGGCCTGTGGCGGGGTGAGACAGCCCTCACGTGTCCTTGGGAGCCGTCAGCTATGGCTCTGAAGCACATGTGGCCCATGAGCACCTGGGGCCCGATGTGGGCACTGGTCCGTGGCTGAGGACAAGCTGGCTTATTCATGTGCAGTTTCTCTTGTTGCAGAAGAAGGAGTGGACGTGGGACGAAACCAAGATGCTGGTGATGCAGGACCCCATCTACAGGTAGGCGCTGCCTCGTGGCCACTGTGCCCACCGTCCCTCCTGGCGCCACGGGGGGCACACAGTGTACACACCCACTGCGCCCGCCGGCCCTCCTGGCGCCACGGGGGGCACACATGTACACACCCACTGCGCCCACCGGCCCTCCTGGCACCACGGGGGGCACACATGTACACACCCACTGCGTCCACGGGCCCAGGCCTGCAGACAGCACAGAAGCAGAGCCTGCCGGGGTGAGGGGAGTCTTTCCGCTCAGTGCGCTCAGGGCTGATCCACGCCGCGGGGGTCCGGTGAGGCCTTGTCCTCGTGTGTCCGTTTGTCTCACTGGAATTTTGTAATCCGGTGCCTGAGGGTCAGAGCGAGAGAACTGGGTCCCCTGGCTCGGCTGCTCCCACCCACCCTCACGCTCAGCACGGGGGCTTTGGGGAAAGCAGGTCTCATGTGGGTCCCCAGAAACCACGTCCACAGCGAGGCTGGTGGTTTCCACAGATCAGGTGACCACCCCATGCATCCCTGCCCCGGGAGCGGGTGCCCAGGAGGGAAGCACCTCGCTCTCCCAGGGACCAGGGCAGCGCCGCCCCCTTCCCGTCTCCTCCCCGGGATGGGCATGAGCTGTTCCTGCAGGATTCGTTGGCAGAGGGGTCAGGGCTGGGCCTCCGGTCAGCGGAGAGTCTCTGCCCGCGGGCCCAGGGAGGGGGGTGAGCAGGGCGGGTCTGGCCGTCACTGCACGCACTGCGCAGACAGGGACCCCTCGGCTTCCCGCGGCTCACATGTTGCTGAAATCATCGCGACATTACTGTTACTTTTGCCACCAACTGGGAGGCTCTTCTGGGGACGTGCCCAGCTCTTGTGTTTCTAGCTCCCGGCCCAGCCTGGCCGCAGGGCACATTCCCTCGGTGTGTGCTGGCGGAGGGGTACGGGCATCGCGGGAGGGCCTGGAAATTGGCACCCGTGCTGTGGAGACGCGCAAGGGGTGAGGATGGCACCG